AAAAAAAATAGAGCTTTCACTAATCGCCACTTCGATCAGAGCGGCAGCTACACCAGTATTATTTTATAAGTATTATGCCTAGCAAACATTTCATTGCTCTTAAATTCTTCAAAGATGTTTTTGGTATGCTCTGAATTTTTTTCATACAATTTTCAAGTCAGATTCCAGTCATTAGCAACTAACTCTAACTACAGATTCTACATACATTTTAGACTGAAATGCTTTCAGACTTCTTCTGCACTTCAAACTTTTGAAAACTAAACGTAGAAAAAACCGAGGATACTTGTGCTACTTTTGTCACTCCGATCCAATTTCCTAACGAATTTCATACAATGCTTACATCTGCTTCACTTCCTTTAAGAAACAATAATCTTGCTCTCACTTAAAGAAATTTTGAATGCTATTTGTTTTTACATGCGCAATTTTCAATCATGCAATGAGACCTAAATATAATTTTCCAACAGTGCCTATATGAGGATTCTATACTGTTGTAGTAGAAATATAAACTGTATAATATCTAATCCAACATCGTCATTATTTGGAAATGATTCAAGACTCGTATGCCGATTATACTGCTTAAGATGAAAATTTTTCATCGTGGGACTATTACTATGAGTATCGCAGCGATATTTTCATGTCAATCATTATGTGCAGTTAGTTATAAGTATTAATATCGTTTGCGTGGTATATGTGGAAAGTTTGTGCGTAAATTCTTGCGCGGGGTTTTACATTTCGTTATTTTGACTCTGAGACAATAGAAATTGCATTTAACTGGTTTGTATTTGTTAATGTGAAGTTTAGTGTTCAATCTTTTTCCGTTATTTAACATTTCAGTACATTAATTTAACATTTCACTACATTTTAGCACATTGATAACCATATTGAAACAAAAAATTTTTTAACTTTTGAGTCGCATGCATTTTGGTTTTATTATTATCTTCATTCATATCAGTTTCTACAAACAGTAGATTTGCAGTTTTCCCAGTATTATATGACAATGTTTGCTCAGGACAATGTTGTTGTTCAAAAAAACTGGAAAACTTGGCAATAAGTTGACAGACCTTTAATTGATTTGTCAAATAACTATTATTGCTGTTTGCTGATGTTATTGATTCATTTTTTTATTATTTTCATCTAGATTTTTACTCCCACACGTGGTGTTTCACCGCGTGTTTTTTTCATGTTTATCTATTCAAGGATATGGAAACGGGCGGACAAGAAGGTGGCATACCAGGAGTTAGTCAAGGGGCTAGGCCATCCAATAAGCGTTTACAGCAAACGCAGGCACAGGTGGATGAAGTTGTTGGCATTATGAAGGTGAAGTTTCAAAGATTTTTTTGGATGCAAAAAGAATGGTCATATTATGAGTTTTGAAAATAATATCCTAACATCGGGTAAGATTGCATGTAATTGTGTTTATACGGGGTTAGTTATGCTAGTTGATTAGCAAGGATTATCAAAGCATGAATAAAGTCTTCACTTGACCGTTAGCTTCGTATTAGCTTATTAAAAGTGGTGCCTAACGAAAAAGAAGAACTAGAAAATCACTTCCAATGAAATTGCTTTTGTTGCATGTGATTTGAAATAGTTATGGAATACTGAACGAAGTTTCGAGTTTCTTTTACTTTGAAACATCAAAATTATGCTTTACAGGTAAATGTGGAAAAAGTGCTGGAGCGTGACCAGAAGTTGTCCCAGTTAGACGATCGTGCGGATGCTCTGCAGGTTTATTAAGTTATCGTGATTCATTGAAAAAATTTCCTCTTCGTCTGTTTAAATATAAATGTAAAGAATATTATCTATAATTATTTGCAATTAATCTTGCAAAAATTAATTATGCAATGCAAAAATTAATTATGCAATAGATGTGAAATTATTTATTACGATATTCGTTGATTTTGCTATTTTAATACTAATATTGTTTTATTCAATTCAGGAGGGTGCGTCGCAATTTGAAAAATCAGCTGCGACGTTAAAGCGCAAGTACTGGTGGAAAAATATCAAAATGATTATTGTGATGTGTACGATCATCGTTATACTCATCATCATTATTATTTTTTGGGCTGGCAATAAATAAAAAGAATGTAAACTTGAGTATCTTTTGCTAATAGTTTGTGCACGCATTTACGGATATGAGGTAGCTGGGTTCCAAAACATCCCCGTAAACTGTGATCACTTCTTTCTATTTTTACGAAGATGAACTCTAATTACTATCGAGGGTTTACGAACGAAATCCAAATGAAAGCTTAGTTTTTATTAATTTACTGAAAATTCGCATGTCCTTCCTTAATCATTGACTGGTTACAGGCAGGAGAGCTATGGGCCTATTTATGAATAGTCATCCTTCTTTATGATGGAAATTGTTGGTAGATAGGACAGTTTATCAGTTCAAGTTGAATATTTTTAGTTTGAAAAACTTGGTGGTAAAAAAACAAGCGTCCTTTCACAAAATTGAAGTCGTTTGTTCAGTATGGAATTTACACCATGAATAAAAGGCACTTGCATTTTGCTTTCTAGCCTGCAAATTTTGTAGGTTTTTAAGTTAGTATTCTGAGGTGTATAAGTAAATGGTGCAAGAGTTTTTGGTGTATTGTGATATTTTATTAGTGATGTTTTCAAGTTGTATTAGATCTTACTGGCTATCGTCTAACTTGTCTATAATATTTTTTCGTAAGCTGATGAATTACATTTTGCTCTGCGTTACCACCAGATTTGTTTAGGCTTTCTTTTTTCCCATTTGAATGAATCACATGGTAATCTGCTTTCTGTTTTCATTACTGTAATTGCAAAATTCTTTAGGTTTTTTTCCCTTTTTGTACTTTTATTGTGTATGAAAAATTGAGTGAGTTTTATTGATAAAATATTATTCTAGCATAGCAGTATTTCTAACATGTGCAGGTTAGTAAGTTCTTTCCGTAAATCAGTATATGATTTTGATTAAGAGCTGTAGATGCAGTTGCTCCCCTCTTTGCATATTTATTTTAGAAACTGTAAATTGCATATTCATCAGATTCAATTACAATTGTTCTTTCTATTCTTTTTGAGAACAAAATAAATTTTTATTGCGACTTATATTTTACATTTACAGTTTTCAAACAATATGATTTTATGGAAATACTCTTTTAATGTACATAGATAAATTGTGGATTCCAAAAGTGGAAGGATTTGGAACTGGCGAAGTTTTCTAGTGGTTGTGGAATTGAAGGTATAATTATATTGAAGAGGTTCCTCTCATTGTTGGTTATTTTGGTAGAAAGGATGCGTTGACAACAAACTAAGTGTAGTACCTCTGGGATTGACGGAATAAACTTTGAAAAATTTTATTTATTGCATGAAACTAATTTTATTGCTGTGCAAAATAATTATCTTCCTAAGAATCAGTGCTTCATCATCATGGTAAAGCAGCAGTTTTCTTTCTTTCATTACATTTCCTTCTAAATTTCCAGCTTATAGATTTCTACGCGTTGCAAAAGGTTCAGTCACTGCTTAGTTCTTATTTTTTGAGAAAAATTAGAATTCCTTAATGCTTTTTAGCTTTCAAAAAATGCACGAGGCAAAGTTGATTAATTTTTTAAACCTGTGTTTTGTTTTGTTGTTCACTGCTCTAAAGTTTGAAATTATATTTTTATTGCTGTGGGAAGTAATTATTTTGCTAAGAATCAGTGCTTGTGAGAAAAGCAGCTTTATAACTTGTTTCTTAATCTGATTGCATTAGTAAGTTATCGTTTTTTATCCTGGTGAATAATTCAGAAATGATTTCTGCTAAACAATTTGTTTTGTTAAAAATATTGCAGTGAAATAAAGCGTTTCGAAATGCGTTATCTTAAAGATTAATTATATTTTTAGATCGTCTTGAAGACATTTACAGCGTAAGGATTTAGAACACTATGCCGTTTGACAAAACACCGTTATTTCGAGCTCGGGTGAAAGCGATTAAAATGCAGGAAGCAACTAGATTGAGGCGAGCTGATATGCAGCAAGGACAGCAGCGAGAGCAAACATCCAATACTTGTAACTTTAGAGGTAAGTGCTAACTTTTCAGATATCTAAGTGTTTGAATTAATTTTTTAAAATCTGTCTTATTTAGAAGAACAAAGAAAGAGATCTTCGGAAAATGGCCCGAGCTTCACGTTTTTATCATTTACTATGGAAGCAAAACAAATTCATCGAGAGCTTATCGCTATCCGAGATATGGTTATTGCAGCAAAAAAGAATTATGTCTCAGATATTGGTCATTTCAGGAGGCTGATATCTCCCTATAAAAACAGTTAGTTTAACTTACGCTTCATAAAGCTAATTGATTTCAGATTACAATTAACAGTAGGAAACATTAGCCATTGTATCCTAAACTTAAAAATTTACACATTTTAGGAAAGCAATATTTATTTGTACATACCAATTAATTTAAAGAATGAATAGACTAAAGCCTTTTTTTTGAGTCGTCGGCAATATTTGCACACATTACATCTTTTTAAATTATGGAAAAGAATCGTATAATAGTCTTGTTTCATCATGTAATGTTTCAGGTATGACTGATTTTGAAAGAGATGAATTAGATGCCAGGATCGAGAGCATGCTGCGAGATAACATCCAGTCGATACAAACTCTGCAACGCAAAATTATTATTAACACGGATTTGCGAGCTGATGATGAAGCTCCACATTTGTTTGAGGTAGAAGTCCTTAAATTTCACATTTTAATGAAATTTTTTCAAAAATTATCACTTTTAAGGTGTTCGTAATATTCAATATTTTGAGGTTCTTCGATTACTCGGAAGGAATCTTAATCGAACAGCTAAGGTCGTTGCTGAAATGCGAGCTTTGAGGACGAAAAAAACTACTAACTTTCGGCAAACATGCAGGTTTTCGTTTCTTAAAGATTTCATTTATTGATGAATTGACGTATCGAAAAATATGCAGCATTATTAGTTGAGATATCTGTTGAAGAAATCATGGTATATATATTTTTTGAATGTGAAGTTGTGGTAGTACAAAAGTATCAATTTGAAATTAAAAAGTGTGCCTTGTGGCTTTTATAGTTTGTATGGTTGATTCCAGAATTTTAATTGTCCCTTATATCAATATTATGTGACAGAAATCACAGTTATTAATTAATACTGAATGCGAACTTAATTTTTATCACTGCTTCTAGGTTAGCTACTTTGGCCAAGCTTTATAGCATTAAAAAACGCAGAGAAGAGTCGATAGCCGAAAAAAAGATGGATGAAGATTCGGCTGAAACCGCATCACTAAAATCAGATTCAATTGCCGATTTGCAAACTCATTCCGAAATTTTTGGCAAACAAGGTTTGAGGAAGAGACTGGGGATTTCGAGTAAGTTTAGTTTATTTATATTTGAATATCAGTGGTCATTAAATAGTTCAGTTTGATTATTTTCGCTATTGTTCTTTGGAAATCATTAAATGTCTTTCATTATTTATTTCAAAAACTTTTCGTAGATGTAAGGGAATTCAAGAGCGAGAATTCAGAGCAGAATGAATGGTCAGTTCCATCAAAACCTAATTTGGAAGAAGATGAAAATGTAGATCCATTAACTGATTTGGATGGCGATGAACGCATTCAGCTAATGATCGAGAATGAACTTTTGTATTCTCGTTCGCTTCAAGTAGATAACGATATTCAGAAAGTGGAGAAACAGATGATAGATTTATATCGCTTACAAGAAACATTTGCGGAAAAGGTTGGTCGATAACATTTTTTTTCATTGTGGTCTTTTATCTGGAATTACAACTTAATGTTAAATTATTAACTGGCTTAGGTTGCGGAGCAAGAAAAAGGTATATCCCTTGTAAATGAAACAACAATAGTAACAGTTGAAAATCTTCGTCTCGGGAATGAACAGATTCGACAAGCCATTCAGAATATGGCGTCGAGACGTGTAATTCTATTGTTTTGTATTATTGTGCTCACGTTTACTTTACTATTTTTAGACTGGTATAATCCATAAAGTAGGAATTTTTAAAATTTATCATTTGCCTAATTGTATTTTTGTGTGTTATTTGCTATTTTCGTTCAGAATAAATTGATTTTTAAAAGAGAACTACTGTCTAAAAACAGATGTTAAAAGTGCTGAAACTATTTTATACAACTCAAGAGATTTTTTCATCATGTAATCACAAAATCAAGTACTTCTTGCTCAAAAAGTTGCGTCGAGCTGTTTCATAACTCGCTTTCATTAAATTAAGATTTCGCATAGTTACGACAAAAAAACTGCCACAAATAGTTTATTTTTCAAAGTCTACAAGTTGGATCTTTTTCGTCAATTACATTAGTTCTTCAAGATAGGCCAAAATATTAACAAATCTTCGAGATTTTGAATCTAAAACTAAAGACCTCACTGAATCATTCATTATTAGTTTTTAACGATTCCAAATTTGTTCTGGGCTTATAGCATTTAATAAGTTTTATGCATTTCTTTCCTCGTAAGAATTCAATTAATTGTTTTAGAGCTGTCGACAAAAAGCAAATCATTCTAATTCAACAATTTTTTCCGCTGACCATTAAAAAATTGAAATAAAACTTCATTCAGAGGAACGAAACACAAAATCTACTCCGTGTCATTCTCATCAAAGAAGCTGCCAGAATACCAAAACGACTTCGACGCAATATTCCTTTGCAGTACCACTGAAGATTATGGCCGTTTACAGCTTTTCTTTTTAGCACTTTGCCATTGTTTTATGCTTGTGTTACTTTTTGTTTACATAA